CCTCCATACATTGAGAGAGAGAGAGAGAGGGTGATCTGTTTTCTTTTTTTTCTTTTTTCTTCCCCCTCTATACATTGATCGTGTGTGTGTGTGTGTGTGTGTGTGTGTGTGTGTGTGAGAGAGAGAGAGAGAGAGAGAGAGTTTCCATCGGTCGGTTGCCTCCCCCCGTCGTGCATTACCTGATGCATTCGCTTTTGCGGGCGAAGCTGCAACAGGTCATCTAGTGCTGAATTATGTTCCCTATCCTCCTCCTCCTCCTCCTCCTTTCTCTCTCTCTCTCTCACTTGTGCACATGCTCTTCTCACTGCCATCACCAGCACCTCTATCTTCCTACCCACCCCTGCGTTCTTGGTTTTCCTCCCTTGCACTGCAATCACCATCATGAGACGCCTACCCACCCCTCGTCTCTTCCATTCCCTCTCTACGCTGCCACCACCACCTGACACCTAGCCACCCATCCTGTCTTCCTTTCCCTCTCTGTGTCCCTGCTTCCATTCATTTATCATGGAATTTCCAGTATGTATATGGCTGCAGTTATGGGCAGTTTCATATGACCATCCCTGCTTGAGTATTCCCTTGCAGAGGATCTTGTGGCAAGGATGTAGCAGTCAGGCAGGGAAGGAAGTAGCTGACGTTGGGTTTCTCAATCAAAAGCTAATACAACAACAAGTGCAAAATTGTAAATGGAAGAGCAAGAGCAATTTTGGCCATCAAATTCTTGTCTAGAAGATGGTTGAAAGAAAATGTCCAAAAGTTTTCCTCACATTGGGATTAGAATTTAGAACCATGCAGAAGATTTTAGCATTCCGCTTGCACGAAATATCGATTCAAGAAACTGAATAAACAGTCCACAGAGCGGAGAACAAGAACCCGGCCTTGTCTCCACCCTTTCTGCTGCATTTTCTGGTGCCTTTTACACACAGTAGTAGTACCACCTCTGATGCACTGGGTGAACTGCACACACAGTTAATGGCATGAGACTGAATGATGACTGCTACCTCTACAGGAGGACACGAAGACAAGGAAAGACAAGGACCAGAATTGGTTGCTGCTGTTGCCACTCCCTTCCTTGGCCCTAAACATGTGGTCCTTGCAGTCTGCCTGTGTGGTGCTGTGTCCCCTTCACTCTGCTTGTAATCTGTCCAAAGTCCGAAAACGGAGACGGTGAAATTACCGAGTGAAAGAACTGCTCACCATCAATAGCAAATTTGGGAGGTGAGGCCAGGTGCAATGTCGTGAAGGCAAGGACATATTTTCGAGAACTCTGTCGTGGAAATGGTTTGTTCTGAATGCAGCTGTTATTCTGAAGAAAGAGCTAGATGTGCCCTGTGCAGGATGCCCCGCTTCGGCGGCCATTTTGCAACTGCACTTGGCTGATCTCGTCCAAAGGCAGCTGGGATGGGATTTACTGAAGTATAGGACTCCCAAGTATTCTCTCGATAGGAGCAATCGACCTTAGATGAAACTATGGACCACCATTTGATCAAGGACCTCGTGCATGATAAGGAGGCAAGGAGACGAGGAGGAAGGTGAGGAAGAAGAGAAGGTGGGGGTGTAGCAGTTGTCAAGTAGAATAGGTGGTGGTGTTAATGGTGGTAGTAGTGGCAGTAGTGATGGAGGTAGTAGTAGCTAGCGATGGTGGTAGTAGTGGCGGTGGTGGTGGCAGTAATGGTAGTAGCAGTATTACTTGTAGTGGTTGGTGGAGTAGTGGCAACTCTCTTGGTGGTGGTGGTGGTGGTGGTGGTAATAGTAGTAGCAGTAGTAGTTGGGCAGGAACATTTTGTTAATGCCGAGATAAGTCCATGAGGAGCCGTCAGTGAAATGGGAGCACTTCGGTTGTTGGTCTGGCACATGGTTTGCTAGTGCTTTCAGTGATCGGACAGGTACATAATATCCTGCCGAAAACCCCCATCCATAACAATCCGCCCGTGAAATCATTAGCCCCCCCTAGAATCCAGGGTCATAATATGGATTTGACTGAACTGCTGAATCTAAGTGCTGACACAAGGAGAGTGCCCATGGGGGTTCAGCCAGTCCTATAGGCTACGGCGGAGTTACAGGTCCAGAAAGCTCGTTTCTCTCTTGCTGAGTTGTACATAACTCGCATTCGGTTATGGAGTTTCTATAGTTAGTGAATCTACCTGGGCCGTTGTCTACTTTGGCTTTGGTCTACCTAGGCTGTAGTCTACCTGGAGCTGTAATCTACCTGGGCCATGTAGTTCTGCCGCCTTCTTCACCCGAAGACGATGTGCAGTTATTGTAGCTGTATTTGGGGCATTTTTGAGTCTAGATGCAGCAATAATGACCGTACGTTTTGTTCGGGTGAAGGCCGTGGGATGTCAGTTGGGTCAGTACAGAGTTGCAGGACGATATGCTTCCCTTTTCTTTTTTTCGCTCCTTTTCTGATTGTATCTGGATTCGAGCTTGAGTCTGTATTTCAACAGTTCATGGGTGTACCAACTGAGCTAGACCGATGGTGACCTTACCCTTCCCTGTATCTCCTATTCCGGGAGATATATTGGTGGTTTCATAGCTGCTGTACCCTGTCGACGATTTGGTCTTGCCAGGATGTTAATTGAGGTAGTGTGCAGGACAGAAGTGCAAACAAAATGAGGTAGACTTTGGGTTCAATGGACTGCCACGAGGTTGTCGGGAGGCAGCTCAACGCATTTAGCCATTTACTACCGTCTTCACCCGAGCAGAATGCTCGCTCATTGTAGCTGTATTTGGCGCTAATCTCAATCCAGATACAGGGATAATGACTGGGTGTTCTATGCGGGTGAAGACGACAGTTGTGCTGCTGGGCTAGAGTCCTGGTTGCAGGCATTCTGTTAGCAGTAGTTGATGGTCTTTGCCCGCCCTTTAGGGTCCTGAATCCTGAGTCGGTCTGAGAAGAGCAGTGTGGTTGTACAGAATGTGCTGTAGCAAAAGTGTATTATGCTCTCCTTTCCTTTGTGTGTGAGGGGAGTACAGTTCAGGAGAACCCGTAGCCTGCCTTTCTTCTTTTATGGAACATTGACAAGTATGCTAGCAAGACTGAAGACCGTTCTCATAAGGATTCTCTCGGTGATTTGAAGGAGCTAATCGACCATATTGCACTCTTGTCGATGTGTAATGAATGTTGTCTGAGGTAGAGAAGAGCTCGCATGATCAGAGCAAACATTTTGGTACTCCTTGTCCCCTTTCTTCTGCGTTGACGAGTATTATGCATGCATCATCCTCTGTGCAGTTGACTTGGTCGTCGCCCTTGTTTGACACATGCCATGCCTGTATGTGTGGCTCTCGGAATGAATGGCGAGAGGGGGTGAGGAGGAATAAAACACAGTGAGAAAAGTGATTGACTGGACTCAGTTCCTGTTGTGCCGGGGATTGGATCCCGCTCGTCATTATCCGTGTAAGATTATTTGGAGTAACAGCGCTTGCGACTAATGCTGATGGAAGCTGTACTCTGGTAACCGCAGATGATATCCATTTCATAACGGGGACACGCGAGCAGAAATGCAACAATGGGTGGGGAATGCGACCTTCCATGGTGCATCTTCTTCTGAGCATGGCCATCCTTATCTTGCCTACTTCCCAGAAACGTCTCTCAGTGGGGAGTTGTCCTTATGTTGATGGAGATGCGAGCAGCTTTGGGTCAAGGTGAGTGAATCCGTGTACATGTGAATCCCAAAATTTATGGATAGTCTTGCCAGTCCGTGTGCAACAACTTGTCATTTCTTTGATGTGTCCGTCTTTCTTCAATGTGTGCGCCTTTCTTCTCAGGTACATTTGTGCATTCGTCCGTCAACAAGTTAATTGTGTTGGAACTTGGAACTGTGCTCGTCTTGTGGAAGGGATCCTTCTGAGCAGGAAGCTCTGCAGCGCGAGCCAGAACCTGTTGAATCTGTGCTGTGTATCTGGCTCTCTTTGGATGATCATACATCCTTTCTGCCATCAATGCAGTCTTATGGCAGCATTTGTGAGTTTATAGATTGTGCCTGTGTTGTCTTTCTTCTCTGCGTTCTCGTGTCTTCCTTCTCGGGAACATCGTGCATTTTTCCATCGACAAATCGGTTCTGTCTGTGCTCTTTTGTGTCTCCTGGAGGGGATAGTTTCTCCGAGCAGTATTACTCTGTGAGTCTGTGTGGATGGCGTGATGGTGAACCATCGGGTTAACACCCTGGATGTGGGTTCCACGCATAGCCTGAGCTTGCAGAGAAGATTAAGGTTTACAGTTTTGGGTTTAGGGTCCCATGCAATTATGTGCATTGAACTCCTGACCGACCGACTAGCTGGCTGTAACTCTAGTCCTGCTTGTTGCATGTGCTCTGCAGACTAGTTGTTGGGCCGATCGCACCATTTTCCTGTGCATACACTCAGGGGGGAGTGGATCTGGCATTGTAAATGTTCGTTTTTTCCTCCTTCTTTTCTTTATGTTGCTCTGCATACACTTATCTGGGACTTGGTCTGGCAGCGTCTGTATGCTTCACCCGACTAATCAACCAGTTTACCATGCAGTGTCTAACAAGACGATCCTTTCATGCGTTCAAGTTTCAACCGATCACTTCGTCAACCAATAAGACATTCATCCGTGCATCTCCTAGATCGCCCAACCAATCTCTCACTCAATCATGCAATTCCCTGAATTTTCAATGAAATTTACATTGATGAATTCACCAGTCAGTCAATCACCCAACCACACGTTGCTGTATCAATCAATTACTCTCTCGCTTGCTTAATAATCAATTAGTTGTCGATTAGTTAATTCATCCTTTCACTCGTCCATCTGCCTAAATGCTCTGACCTGTGTGATCTACCCATCCATTTTCTCATGCAGTTCTTTCTTGCCATTTGTCTCTTTGACAAAGTTTTTTTTTTTTTTTTTTTTTTTTTTTAATCCGATTTGTTCATTGCACGCATTGGTTTTGTGTTATGACAAACGGCAAGAAAGAACTAAGCAACTGGCTGTTCATTGCATATGTATGCGATGGAACAGCCGTAACACTGAAAAATTGTCTCTTTGTGTTATATCCTTGCTTAGTCGGACATGGCATGTTCTAGACTAAGCATCTATGTCTCTTTTATTTCATTCGTTCCTCGTGTTTCGCTCCTTGTCCTTTCTTTTCTCCATTCATTCTGTTCTTCGTGTTTGTTTGGTGGGTTGGCTGATGAACCTCTGTGGCCAATTTTTCAGTGTTACGGCTGTTCCATCGCATACATAGATGCTTAGTCTAGAACATGCCATGTCCGAGTCAGTTGACGTACAATTAAGGTAGTTGCCTGACTCGGTGATATGAACTCAAGTCCAATGTTTTGGAATATATCGTGCTATATTTAACTCATCAACTGGCTTCTGGTTGTTTTCTTTCTGATGCGTGCTTACTTGTGGTGTGGCAGACGGGATGGCGGACCAGTCAGCGAATACACAGGACCAAAATGGTTGTCATCAACAGCAAGTCGTGGTCAAGGATGCTGTCAATGTAGCAGCGTCTGTGTCTGTGGCTGATAGTCACTTCAAGACCGACAGTACAGCAATTGAGAATCCTGATGCTGGCCATCATGCGGAAAAAGACTTGCCCCCCCCTTCCACGAAGCCCCCAGCCGGTACAGATCGAGGTGGAAGTCGGGGATGTGATATGTATGTTGTGGACAGCGGTAACCGCCATGGTGATCCACATGTAGCAGCCCGCGAAGAGCTCGTTGTTTCCAGCAAGACGGGATCTTCTTCTGAACAGTCAGCAGGGTATATGGTGGTGTCAGGAGGATTGTCATCACACGAAGACTCCGCCGTTTCACCACCACCATTGCAACAAGAAATGCAAGAAGAGGTTCTCGTCCATGCACAGGGGGGACCAGCGGTAGTGGAGGTGGACAGAATGCGGTCTTCCAAGACAACCTCGGTTGGTGTGGATGGCACCTGTGTGGGTTGTGTGTGTGGAGATGGCCTCGGGGACGACATTCGGCCAGTGGGGATGTGGCAGCCTGCCACGTGTCCAAGGTCATTGTCATCTAGCGATGTGATTGCAGGCCCATTTTACAAGTTCGTGAGTAGCGGCTGTGAGGAGCCAAGCTGTGTTTCATCTCAGTCCCATTACTTTGAAGGTGCTTCTGAAGAGCTGTCAATTCCCACTTTGTCCACGAAAGGTAGCGAGGCCGATGAAGCATCGGGTCAAATGGCTGGCAGCAATGTTGTGTCTGACCAAGAGGCTGCTGGTGATGCCTCGTCAGTACTCTCATCTGCATCTGACACCCTGGCCACAGTGACAGGCGGTCCATTGGATGACGCTCTGAAGGACGAGCAGCACCTGTCTGTCATTGATGAAGGAGAGAAGGTGGGAATTGGAAAAGGTGGGGACAATCTCACCGATGGTACAATACTGTTGACCCCACCAGCTGGCCAAGAACAAGATAGTCAAGGTCAAGTGGGGCATGGAGAACGAGGGAGTTTGGATGTGTCTAGTCCTCTTGAAGCCGGGTCGGAGTCCAACACAACCAGCACACCGCAGGGGGTCAAATCAAATATGGATGAGACACAGCCTGGGAACACACAGCCGTTAAATGTGACTGCCGATTCGAACATAGTGCCTGAGGTCGTCAATGCATCCCTATCGGCAGGGACATCGTCTTCACTCGGCAATGGTACAGCTGTGCCAGCAGGAGAGCAGCAAGTTGACTTCCACTTGGCTGATTCACCTGCGGCAGCTTCGCACATGCAGGTGCCATCGCCGGAGACCCATCATGAGATAGTGAGCGAGACATCGTCACTGGAAACCGACATTTTGCAAGAGCCATTGCCAATGCCACCCCCTAGTGACAGGTCAGACTCTGGCATCGCAGAACCTGCAATTGCAGAGCCTCCAGTTCAGCATGAGGATAGACCCACCAGGTTGCCCCTGGGGTTGGAAGAGTATAAGAAACGTGTGTTGTCCTCCCCAGATGCAGCATTGGCGTCTGCCAACATTGCACCCCACAGTGATCACCCTCCATCACCTCGCCGCAAGTCAGCTGATGGCACCCTCTACAACTACGCAGCTCAATCTCATGGAGCCAAGGTAATCAGTGCAAACAGCCAGGCAACCAGCGCAAGTGCAGTGCTTGATGAAGACCGTGACAAGTATCTGCGTAACCCGTGCAATGCGAAGGAGAAATGGATTGTTATTGAGCTGTCTGAGAATGTTCGGGTTGACACCATCGTGCTCGCTAGCTATGAGTTTTACAGCAGCAGAGTGAAAGAGTTTCGTGTGTTGGGAAGTTTGCGGTACCCAACGGACAACTGGGTGACGGTGGGAGTCTTTGAGGCGCAAAATGTGCGGCAGCTTCAAACGTTTCCTGTGGAAGGGCTTGCTTGGGCCCGCTATCTGAAAGTAGAATTGCTTAGTCATCATGGCACAGAGTTCTACTGTACTCTCAGTGTTGTACGTGTTCATGGTGTCAGCGAGTTGGAAAGCCTTCAAGAAGAACTCATTGAGATTGACAAAGAGGTGGAGGTGGTGCAGAGCGTTTTGCGGTCCAAGGGTGCAGACGGTGGGATCACAGATGGTGAGCACCTCGACGTGTCAGATCGTGCTGTGCTCTCCGACCCCTCAGCAAAGACCAGAAAGACGGAGGAACAGGGGTTGGGACCTGCTGACCCACAAGGATCAAGTAAGGGGAGTGCACATGGGGCTGTGCATGTGAGGGGGAACAATGGAGGCAATCCCGTTCGTGCACCGACGGACACAATTGTTTGTACGAGTGACAGGAAGGTCGTCCATGATGAGCAGGTATCTCCTGGCACAGAAAACAGTGGCAGATCAGAACTTGGACCTGGTACTGATGGACACGTGGACGGGTCTCATGAATCACACTCGCTGGGTGGTGGAAACGACAATTCCAATGGTCGCTCAGCTGGAGAGTTTGTGTTCAAGCCCCTCATGCAGAAGCTTAAACAGCTGGAGCTAAACCAATCGCTCTTCAAGAGCTACTTGGAGGACATGTCTCACAGATATCTCCTCGCATTCGGCGAAATTGACCACCTCATCGGGATGCTCACTGAGCGCCTTCGTAACGTTTCAGCTGTTGCAACATTGTGCTCCTCAAGGCTTGCCGAACTGGTGAGTGACGATTGCGCTGCACAATAGTCCAATGTCTCTGATATTCCTCTGTTTATCTGATTGTCTGTGCTATGTTTCCGGCTTCCATTCTGTCTACTATGTTCACTATGCGGCCGACTTCCTGATTGGAGTCATCGGGCCTAGAGCACTACCTTCTTCTGCCGAGTAGAACGTACGGTCATTATAGCTGTATTTGAGGCATCTTTCAGTCTAGATACAGCTATATGACCGTACGTTGTATTCGGGGGAAGAAGGTAGCCGATAGAGTATGACCGTACGTTGTATTAATGCGGTCGATAGTGTTTCCAAGTAAGGCTTAGCCTTCAGCCCTTCTTTTCAAAGACGCTTGTAACTCGATCTAAAGGCTCCCGCGGGACGGCTTTTCTCGGGTTTCTTATCAGCTCCTCCTCCAGGCTCTCCCACTCTGTGTCCTACGAATATCGACGAACATACAATGGGAAAAGTCGAATTGTACGCGTGCCGGCATAGTGCTTCAGTTGGTGTAACTTTGTGCTCCTCGAAACTTGCCGAAGTGGGCGATGGTGGTTCTCATGAATTGACTTCCCGACTTCCTGATGGGATGAATGCATCTGACCCTTTTCTGTACGTCTGCTTCTCTCTATTATGTTTCTGGCTGTCTGTTTGTGTGTCTCAATCTGTTTGTTAGGATTTGTGTCTTCCACACTGCTTTTCTGTGTAGATCTATCTTTGCGTGGCGCTTAGGCATCCTATGTACACAGAGCTGTTTAACTTTGTGCTCCTCGAAACTGGCATATGGTCTTGTTTGGCTAAAAAAAAATAAAAAAGAAACCTGGCAAGTGGTTGTTCTCACGAATGTACTTCCCGATGCGATGATTGTTGCTGAGCTTTTTCTGTTCATCTGCTTCTCTCTTTTGGCCTATCCGTCTATTTCAATCTCTTTGTTCTACAAATATTCCTCCCCCCAGCGAACTCTACATGTGGTTTCAGTACGTGTCTCTTAATGGACTGGGAATGATGATTCTTGTGACGTTGTTTTTGTGCTGGCAGGAGTCAACTAGTGAAGCTGAATTAGGAAAGCTGAAACTGGATCTTGCTCTTCAGTCAGAGGCTGTTGCAGCAGAACTTCGGCATATAAGGTTAGATCTGTTTGCGGCTCGTTCCCACCGTTGCCTGTTTTGCAATGCCTGCGTCACATCAGGTCTATGTGAGAAAAGACTGTTACCGAATGTAACCACAGGCACCCAAGAGAGAGAGAGAGAGAGAGAGAGAGAGAGAGAGAGAGAGAGAGAGAGAGAGAGACAGAAACTCCAGTCGAAGTCCATGGATTGGGGATTTAGTGCTTAAGAGGTTCAGCGGTTCCCTGGGTTTTGCGAAAAGCAGCATCCTACGATGTTTATGACGAAGTAGAATTTGATGTCCAGTTGATGCAGCTCAGTGGTTCGAGCACCGGTTGGAAATGCGCATTGTGGTATAAGGTTTCGGGGTTCAAAACCCCGCAGCCTTGCGCATGGACACCGGCAGGGCGTTAGATTGACGCACGGCTGGACACACATCCCCTTGGGCTGACGCATGGTACTGTTACAGACACTGCCTGCGCACCACCCAAGGGTAGTCCACGGTGTTGTATGTTGGTTGTGGGTTTCACAGGGTTTGCTTGGGGTGTTGGTCTCGGGTGTTCTGATGTTCTCCCCAGTCTGGCATATCACACGTTCATTCCATTTCCGGTAGTTGCTCATACGGTAGAGTCGTGGATTACATGTTACAAGGTTACGGGTTCAAGCTTGGTTCGGTCCTTGGGGGGGGGTGTCCTTGTCCAGCTGGCCTCGTTCTCTCCTCCATACACACACATGATTCACAGAGTACATAGCTTTCGGGCATACACACTTAGCTTGCGAATTATATATCGCCTACAGGTTACGTACACAAGTTTCCACACATGATACTGTCTACACGGATTCACAGAATATACACACAAAAAACAATCTGGGGAGCTAGTCACTGGATATATGGGGCCTGTAGTTCATTGTCTGGGCCTGGCGTCCGAAGTGCCCGTTCGACAAGGTTCTTCCGATTCCGCTTCCACCAGGGCTGGGCAATCTATCAGCCCTGGTGCCTATCACTGCTGTTCGGTCAAAGTTGCCTGCCCGTTGGTAGGGCAATGGTCCTGAGTGGGATAGGGGGTGCGCTAGGAGTATTGACGTGAGGATGGGTTGGGAGGTGGTCTCATATTCCAGGACACCCGCGGCTCACAGTTCCAGGTGATCACTGTGCACACACTGACTGGCCTCTACAACACCCTAGAATTTGATGCATCCGTACAGAGATCAAGGGGGAACGAGAGCTAGGATGGCAAGGGCACTATCAACATCCCAATGTAGGTAAAGGTCAGAAAATGTCAACAAGATAGGTGAGGCATGGCGGTAGATCACATAAAAATAGATCCACTTCGTTAACCACATTTTAGATGGATGGATAGATCCAGAAGATGGGAACGGAGATTATTTGAAGACTCCAACAGGGTTGCATAGCTGCCGACCGCCGACCTGTACCGCCGACTTTATTGCAGCCGACCAGTAGGGCCGACCGGTCGGCCGTATGCCGACCAGTCAGAAAACGGCCATCCACTGATTAAAAAAAAATATGGGTTGGGGGCTGTACTGCGCTTGCTGAGTACAGCCCAAATCCGCTGAGAAACTTTTGGGGATTGGGGAGGGGGTAAGGGGGGGGTATAGGGGGTTATAGAGGTGGTCTAGGGAGTATGGGGGTGTGTTTGAGGGTGTTGGGGGCGGTTTGGGGGCTTTGAGGGGGGGTACGGGGGTATTGAGGGCGGGTATGGGGTGTTGGTGAGGTTATTGGGGGTTCTGGACCCAATATACGACACGGGAAGCCTATTGGGTGCGACGGTTGCGGACTCTTCATCCAGCTGGTCTCAACGCTGTCCTGCCACTTGCTCGCCTGCCTGCAAGAAGGCGACAACGTCGTCCTCATCGGTGGACACAGACAGGCCCTCGTCCATCAGACCATCAACAGCTCCAGCCTATTGATTTGCGTCCAGGCCCCGACTTTCAGGTCTGGTCTGCATTGCACAATCTTCTCTCACAGGCTGCTGCTGGCAATTCGCGACAGACGGAATCTGTCATCCAGCGCGCAACATCAGTTTGGCGTGCCCGCTTGCTGCAGTGGTTGAGCAATAATATCTCCAATGCAGATATGACTGCGCATATCCGTCAGCTTGAATGCCTGATTCGGAAGCATCAACATGTCCACCAGCGATACACAGCTCAGTCTCGAGATGCCTTTCTTGATCATATTAAAGTTGTGCACATGCACGAGGTGTCTCAGGTAACGAGGCTGCAACAAGCCTTGCATGCACCCCAGGTGCTTCACTTGCAGCCTGACCCTGATGCCGTAGCACACCTGCGTATCTGTGATAAGTTGTTGCCGCCAACTTGTGTCCAATTCTCTAATTTCACGGAAATTGCACTCAGCATCACACTTGGGATCTCCCTGCCTGACCCCTTAGACTGTCAATGACAAAAAGTGTTTCCTGACTTCTCACACTTAGTCGACGGCCGTGTTGTTACAGCCGACTGCGACATCATTCCTGATGATCGCCTCCGCGACTTGTTCCATGAAGGCTCAAAGTATCGTCTTAATGGACAAATCGCTGATGTGCTTCAGGCTGTTGGAGTCGGCCTTGACGAGTATATTGCTAAATACCTGAGGTCGGTCTCCGAGCAGCTTCGGCCGGCCGCTCTGAACAAATTCCAGCAGTGGCGCTCAGCCATTCTCACAATTTGCCAAAGCAACATCTCATCCCCCCTCACTACCACACGACAACCGCATTCCCTTCACTCAGTGCACAGGGCTTTGATACACAACAATACTTTGCTATTGTTCCTGTTGACAAGACGTCACATAACTTGGCAATCTGTTGTAAAAATTGGTACCTGTCTCATCTGTCTGCTCATTTGGACAGCCCTACCTATGCTGTGCCTCTTAACTTTGTCGCAGATATTCTCGAACATCACGTGCTCTGGAATCATCGGTGGGGATATACACACAAAGACACGCTGCCATATCTGTACTATGCACTTAAAGCGCACAATCGCCCTTTGGGCTTCGCAGTATTGTCGACGTCACAGAGCGGAATAATCTCTCCCTGCCACAGCGATCTTGATCAACTGCGCCATCTATTCATGCAGTCCACCATCGACCTCCCCACAAACCCGTGGCCAGTACTACTGTTGCTTTTGCCCGCCTCAGTGTTGCACTACAAGGAGTCATTGAAACTCTCCGTGAGAAGGATAATCTGTTGTATCAGCAAAGCGGTGTGAAATGGTGCTGGATCGTGCAAAGCGCTGAGGAGGTGATGCTTGATCTCAAACGTAATTCATCTTCTCTTTGTGACCATGCTCCTCGCACTGTTGATTTCACAACCAGGTATACCAATCTTCCTCTTGACCGTATTTGTCATATGTATCAAAAGTGGTTGAGGAAGCCTATACATATGCCTTACAACAGCACACACAGGGGCGCACACATCCTCCTACCCTTAACATGATTGTTAAAGGGCCCCGTCAAGGGGAATGGACGGTTGATACCGGACCGAACACCTTGACCGTTTCCCAAATTCTTGAACATCTCCATTTCATTGTCACAAACACGTATCTTTATGCAGCGGACGACACCTTGCGACATCAGCTGATTGGCATCCCGATGGGGACTAATTCTGGTCCGGAGATAGCTAGTTTGACGTTGTATTGGGATGAGGCTCGATTTGTTGATGACCTCCAGAGGCGTGATCTTCGCACAGCTCAACGGTATGCCAATCTTGGCACATCTCCTGTAGAAAATCCATCTGACCGGCCTTCCCCGAATTTGTGTGGTCTCGCTGCTACTAACATCTGCCTACAAGCCCATCGTCGGGAACCATATACTCACTCTGATTTCTTGGCCATTGCTTCCAATCTTGATGCTCAGGAAGGTGAGTTATATGGCGATAACCCGACTCTGCATCCCCCACAAGATAGTAATTACACTCCACATGGGGGATTCAATGTCTCTGTTTTGGAGACTGCTTTGATAAGGCGCCGGCTTGATATGTAGCATGCCCCTTCGGGTGGTGACCCGGACCACTGTTCGCACGTTTGTGCCTATACTCTACATGCTTCTGGCCACTACATCGCTCTTGTCCGTGTCTCTGGTTCTTGGGAATTATGGAATGGAGGTGCTATGGTGCAAACTATTACTGCCATCTGTGATCTCGTGCGTAATTACCCTTAACCTGCAATTGTTCCAGGTCGTTGACCCTATGGGTACCTCGTGTACTTCCATGCCCGCCTCTACGCCTATCTTTGTGCCTGCCTCTGTACCCGTCTCTGTGCCTGGTTCTGTGTTCGTCGTGTTCCAGGTTACTGACCCTATGGGTACCTTGTGTACTTCCGTCCCCGCCTCCGCACCTGTCTCTGTGCCCGTCTCCATGCCTGTTCCTGTGTCTGTCTCCGTGCCTGCCTCCATGTTTGTCACCGTGCCCGCTTTAGTCTTCATGCCCCACATGCTGCACTAACACTTTGTGACCTCCTTCTTTGTGAGATCACTGACACAGTTACACTTGGTTGTGGAAAGCATCGACTTTGTCGACATCACTACAACCGTATAATTTTTTGGGCCCGCTGTCAGCAGGGATGCCACCTGTATCCGGATTGTGAACAGCCTCTACATCCAGATGCAGTATGTCCCATCTGTGCCTGCGGGCACTATAGCGAATGTGCACTTAACTGTGATGGTGAACGCCCACAATCGTCATGGCCTGCAACCAGCATGCCCTCTGTCGTGCATGCTTCAGAGGTATGGTTAATGCTAGCCGCCCTGGCTCCTGTGTGACGAAGTTGCTTACCTGAATGGTTTTCGTCCTGTAGATCAGCGGGAGGGCTGCTACCATCGCCCGCATCCGTATGACAGTTGTCCTATCTGTAGTGAGGGTCTTACTTAGACGTACCTTGCATCCTGACAAAAATGTGCAGGGGTGCTGAAAAGAGTGTATACGAATGTGCAAAGGTGGGAAACCGTTCACTAAGACTGCAAAACAGTGAAGAATGCAGTAAAAGAAGAACATAAGTTTGTGTCATTTTAC